TTTTCCTTTACTTTTTTCCCGCTAAAGTTCATTTCAGTAGTTTTACAACCAGGCTATAGCAGCAGATCACCAAAAATCACCAATAATATTATTTATAGCTTAATACAAAAGAATATATCTAAGACTGTCTCTTATACACATCTAGATGTGTATAAGAGACAGCATTCATCATCATAAACATCATTATCCTCATCATCATTCATATTATTGGAGCATGATAACTAGTCAAATTTATATTATACTATGTACTTTCTAAAGTTTTTTATACATTTATTTCCAAAAAAATAAATATCCAATGTATTCTAGGTCACAGTTCATTCTTTCCTTTAAAATTTGGGTTGAATATAATTGATTACCGAATCTCACGATCTCATGATGACTTACTTCGGAGTCTCCGTTGGCCATTGCAAACAACATCTGAAGTTGCGAGTTAAGTAATGTTCCATTTGCTGCCAACATCTTCAGCTCGTTATATTTGTTGTCAACCTCTTGAAACCAGGTCCTAGAATGTTCAGTATGTGCCTCTCGTGAACTCGATACAACAGGAAATTCTTCCTGGCGATATAAAAAGTCTGGACATTCAGGTGGTTCTATTTCTGGATTTAATTCCGGAGGATCTGTGTCTGCCACAAAATAGGTTGGTAACTGCCTAACATCCGAATATCCTAGAAATATTTCACAGGATATGATTGGTTCGCGCATCAGATTTATATCTGGATACCGTCTTTTAAATCCACTGGAGAAATTCTGAAGGGCAACACTCATCTTGGTACGACCATCCTCTTCCATCATACAAATAAATGTATTTCCTGTAGATTGATCAGCAGGGTAGATTTGGAGTCTGCTACGACGCAAAAGAACTGCATGTACAACATTTTCTTTATTTACTATACAATTTTGTGAATTAAATCCGTGAACTGACACAAATGCTCTCAGATCAGGCAAGGTTGTAGTGTCATTTGACGTCTGCAAAAGTTCAAGTGCTCCCGGTACAAAAATTGTTATGACCCAGGTGCCACCGAGGTCAAACTTGCACACAAGTAATTTCGGAAGATCATCTGACATCTTACTTAAGATATCTTCCCATGAAAATATTTCTTCATCTTGGTTTAGCACTGTGTACATCAAAGACCATTTTGTTGGTGATGTTTCAGAGTTGAGATTAGCAACATCTTCCGCAGACAAAATGGACGAAGATTGAAGACCAGAATGCCTTCCTTGGATTTGTTCAATGCTATCTGGACAATCAACCATTGCCAATTCTCTCTGTAGTCTCGTGAATGTCGAAAAGTCAATTAGCCGGCAAAATCTCGAAAGCAGATTCATTTTTTCATGTCTCTGACACCATTTGTACAGCATCCGAAAAAGTTTAAAGTCATCGGCAGGCCAATTGTTTTTCTGTAATAAAGAAGAATTTCTGTACTAAAGAAGAAATGGTCTCTTCGGACGCGTCCATTATTTCATTTGACAATACAGTTGTTTCTTCACGGATTTCTAGATCATGCCTTAGCATTAGGAGTCTTACGATCCCACTTCTACTACGCCGTAATGCCAAGTTGTGATTGTTAACGTCTATATCGTCAAGAGGAGCAGTATAACTTGCCTTGTAGACAAGTGAAGCAGCATCAACAAAAGTTGAAAATTCTTCTGATTCATCACCATATTCCTCTCTCATCTCCTTCTCGATTTTGGAAACACTTTCTTTGATGTCCCCACTCAAACATTTGGCATTATTAACCATCTTCTCACAAACAAATATCTTTTCACCTTTCCGCGATTTTACCATCAGACTCTTTGGAGCTTTAACATTTTCACCAGTTTTGGCTGCGTCAATGGCGTGGTTGAATAAATTTGCGAGGGCCATACATTGAGGTGAATCAATGCCAGCAATATCGGCCCACATTTCTAGGAGATTTGAAAACTTTCCAACGCGGCGTACGTTGTAATCAGCGAAATACGTAATAAGGTCATCGGTAGTTATATTACTCTGCGTTTTCGACTTCCCTCCTAAAGACAATAAATAAAAGTGTTTGTAGATGTTTTGATTATTAAAAATTTCATGACCACACATTTTATATAATATTTCTACAAAATGGAACAATCAGAGATTTACTTTATTAGTGAACGTCTGAAACTTTCATTATTGTTTTTCTTATGCACATTCTAGGGTTTATTCTAATCTCTGGGCTTGAGAAAAGACACAGAGTTGTAAGATTACCTTGATATGATGTTGGTTTCCAGTGTTGTTTTGGAACCAAATCTGGGTCCCAACAGATGAAGTACTTATCGCCATCCAGGTCACTTCCTGCAATTTCGTCACAGTGGGGTCTTTTTCCTGAATTATAAACACATTTATAATTATATTATTTTTTATTATCTCAAAGATGCTAGTTGTTCATTGATTGGTACACAGGTCTATCACACACTGAAAACAAATTGTGATAACAAAGGGGTGTGAGATGTGTAAACATCCAGATGCTGAACAAGCGTTGATGAGTATCGGCATAGAACAGAATCGCTATTTACTATAATTTTAATTAAAATGTCAATTCTGCTGTAAAACGTTTATTCATAATATTCAGGCAGAATCATTATTCAGCCACAGGAAAGAATAAAAGCAGAACACGGGCCACTGTCTTTGGACAGATATACAGTAAATGTTTTATTCTATTCGAGTTATTGTATAATGAATATTCAATATAAATGTTGTCAACTGTGTTTTTTTCAGTAATCATTCTGTTCCTAAAAATTGACTTACCTTTTACGGGATAGACCACACAGTCAACAAGATGTCTGCAGTGTTTATTTTCTACACATGTTAGTACCCTAATATCGCCAGGATAATAGCTCGGGCTTTTAGCAACGATTACTCTCCCTTTAATAACAACGGGTTTTCCACGTATGGTTGGTTGAAAAAACACAGTGCCTTCTTCGAGTGTGTTAGAGTTATCACATACCCCAAAGACATTCCTTGACAACTCTGCTCTGATGTTCAGGCCTTCAGCTTTAGACTTCTTGGTTCGTTCGAGCTTATCAGAGGCACCAGTTTTTCTATCGTCAAAGACCTTCCTTCGAATGCTCTCTAATTTTTCTCTGATTTCTTGGTTGGAACAGTAATCATATGTCATGGATATCACTCTTTCGGCAAGATCAGAACGCCCACTTATGTATAAGTGTTTAATTGCTATCCACTTGTCTTTTTCCAGCTGGTGTAGTTCTTCAAAGAACGATGTCTGTAGCTTAAGAAACGCTTTATCCGGAACACCCAGAGCTGACAGAATCCGTATGAAGTGCTTAATTAGGTTACCATACGCATATGGCTTGGAGATCCCATCATCAACCACTCCAAGGATGTGGGGCTCAGATAGTTTCCAAGAGAACTTTTCCTACAATACAATACAAAAAGAGTTAAAATAAAAATATTTACGCTTTATCATTTGGATTGATATTCACATGCATTAACATTGGCATGCATTATTATTGGTATTTGTGTTGGCATTGCATTGGCATTGGTATGTATTGCCATTGGTATTGACATGCATTGACATTGGTACAGAGGGTATTGGTATTTGCATGTACTGACATTGGTATTGATATTGACATGCATTGACATTGGTACAGAGGGTATTGGTATTTGCATGTACTGACATTGGTATTGATATTGACATGCATTGACATTGGTACAGAGGGTATTGGTATTTGCATGTACTGACATTGGTATTGATATTGACATGCATTGACATTGGTACAGAGGGTATTGGTATTTGCATGTACTGACATTGGTATTGATATTGACATGCATTGACATTGGTACAGAGGGTATTGGTATTTGCATGTACTGACATTGGTATTGATATTGACATGCATTGACATTGGTACAGAGGGTATTGGTATTTGCATGTACTGACATTGGTATTGATATTGACATGCATTGACATTGGTACAGAGGGTATTGGTATTTGCATGTACTGACATTGGTATTGATATTGACATGCATTGACATTGGTACAGAGGGTATTGGTATTTGCATGTACTGACATTGGTATTGGTATTGACATGCATTGACATTGGTACAGAGGGTATTGGTATTTGCATGTACTGACATTGGTATTGATATTGACATGCATTGACATTGGTACAGAGGGTATTGGTATTTGCATGTACTGACATTGTTATTGATATTGACATGCATTGGCATTGGTATACTGTAATCCCCATGAGTATCATTATTATTATTATCATTGTGCACCGATACAATACACCGATACATGTACATTATAATATAAATAAGATGTTTACCAATGAGTTTCTTATCTTGATCCCTTTAGGTAACTTTGGGTCAACAACTAACACTCCTTTACATCCCTTTAATCTTATTTGAAAGACCGATGGCACTGGAGGAACTTGGTGTTTATACAGCTCCGTTAGATCCATTGCCTCAGTTATTCTAGTCGCACATTCTACTGATATTGACCCACAACCATCTGTGAAGTTATATCCATCTCGTTCTATGTCTGTCTCTTTAGTGATATCATCATCTCGCAGTCGTAGCACCTCGTTTGCGGTAGAGAGCAACAATCCAATACGTGCTGCCCTCTTGGCAACGTTGTTGATGCAGCTGAAATCTCCAAACATTTGTATGATATCATTAAAGTCACCAAGTTTCTCGTCGTACAAGAAGCAAGTTCTGTTCCTTAGTTGAGAAGCACTGTGACCAAAAAATATGTACCGCTTTGGCTTCTTTGGCTTTCCTCTGTAAGGCCTTTGGCTTACAAGTAATCCATTAGAAAGAAACTCAAACAGATTCTTGCCTGGAAAATCGACGTGAACGTGGAGAACCAGGAAATCGTTGTGACTGATTTTAGGGTGTCTGAAGAGATTACACATTTTCAATTCAGCTCCAGTGGGGTGTGGGTCCAAAACGAACTGGTCACAAGTCGGTTTAATTCCCTTGTCGGTGATTGGTTGTGGTTTTCGTAAGATGTCTGCTGACTTCATTTGCTTTTGTGTCTCGTTTGGAAATCTCACAGGTACCGATGCAATGTCAGTCATTGCAACTGCATTATGGGAAATTTTCTTCTTGGCAGACATTTTGGTTTCTGTAAAACAAGTGATACACTTCCTTGTGATACAGCTAAATATTTATACAATAACTAACTTTAATTTAAGTTTATTGTCCTTCTCGTAAAATAAAGTTACAGTATTTGTATTTTAGATAACTTTCTAGCTTTATTGTCCTTGTAAAATACAAATAAGGAAATTCATTTTCCGTTGGCAAATGTCAAACAAAATGAATTACATAAGTGTAAAAATGACTCGATGCATATTACGACAACAATATTTCATATTATTATTAAGATAAGAAAAGATATGTCAAACTTTATTGTCATGACCACGAAACATGAAATTTATTATAGCAAGATAGAAAAAATGGGTTAAAAAAATTAGTATTCAAATAGGTTGTTCATTAGTATGTACAGTATAAAATATCATAATAATTATTTAAATTCATAAAATTTAATAATTCAATTAAAATTTACGATGACAAAATGCATAATAATATTATTGCAAAATATAAAAATAGATCAAAAATTTAGTATAAAAATAGGTCATTTATTAATATGTACAGTATTATAAATGTATATATATAATATAAATATAATGACCCCTAACAAGGCTAATGAAGTCACTCAAGATAAGGTTACTTCTTTAAAAGAAACCGGTTCACGAGAAACTTCAGTTGTGAAGGTTGGTAAACATAAGGAAAACAGTATGATTTCCGAAGAGAAACAGAACGACAGATGAATGTATGTGAAAAGGCAACAGTCTTTTAGCTTTTGAAAGTACAAGCGTCAGTAATGGTGACGAGTATGTCTTACAAAGGTGAGCCGTTGTAGCACGAGAGAAAACAAATCCTGGGAACAGTGATATAAGGCTACATATAGGCCTTTTGTCAGGGGCGGATCCAGGATTTAAAAGAGGGGGTTCAACATGTTTCCAAAAACCACAAAATGAAAGGGAGGGGGGTCCTCCCCGGAAAAATTTTGATTCCTAGATTTCTGAGGAGTCTTTTAATGACCTTTAAGTTCTTCAAAATTCAAGGTTTTCCCCCTCTTGAAAAAAATCAAAGACAGGCAATATATTATTATATTCCAACAACATTGAATAGTTAGATATGTAGTCTTTCTTATAGATTGATGAACCGATAGGCCTGAATTACTCACTTTCGTACGTAAATTATTACGAAGGTGAACCAAAAACAGAATTGGGGTTCATTTCAGTCTCGAATTAGAGGGGTCTCAAAATTCAGAGGGTGTGCTCAGTGTTTTATATGTCCCTCCATCATGCCTCAAGACATATGGCGACAGAGCATTTTTAAACGCGGCTCCGAAACTTTGGTACAATCTGTCTTCTTCAATCCATGAAGCTCTGTCCTTGTCTACTTTCGAAACACAACTTAAGACACATCTTTTTCCGTATAATTCATTTGTTCACTTTTTTTCCCCTTGTTTTTTGTTTCTTCCTTCAGGATAGGCTACATTAGTTACCAGTAATACTAGAGCACCTGTGAGTAGTGTTCTAGTGGGCCATTTTGTCTCAAATTACGATGCAGTGTCTGGTTCCTTTTTAATTCGATTCTTTGGTTAATTGTTTCTGATTAGTTTGAGGATATTAGTTCATGGGTTAGTTTTCTCTCTCCTTTTTAATATTCTTAAAGCACCGATTTTGAGCAGTGGTGGCGCCAGGACCTGCCCGACGGAGGGGCTAAAGGCCCCGACGGGGGGGCTAGTGGAGCGAATCGAGTCTCACTTGGCTGGGGGCCAGGGGGCCGCCTAGGGGCCCCGGTGGGGGTCCAGGAGTATTTGATGAATTATGGGGAATTTTTATTACTTATTTGATAGGCATCGAGTTACTATAGTATGACTTCATGTAGGCTATGCTTTCTAATGTTGGAATCAGCAGGGGGGGGGGGCGCTAAGCTTCTCCGACGGGGCCACCACTGATTTTGAGATGATTTTTAATTGTGTAAAGCGCTATACAATTCCAATACAATTGACATTAATAAAGTCAACATTTTTTAATCAACTGAATTTTATATCATCATCACCTTCTTTATCATCAATTATCATCAATTATTCCATAATTCCAATATTTCCTTCCTGTTTTTTGGAGGTCCCCTGTGATCCTTCATTGCACTTTTCAAAATTGTCTTATCAAATAGTTGATTAATTATGGTTATTGTGATTTAATTTGTTACCTGCACAGAAAAGTAGGCCCCTATTAAATTTCAACATCCAAGGACCTGTGGAAAGTCACATGACCTGGTTGAGGTTGGGCCTCTGGCATTGAGCTCATCAACTGAAACACATTTTCAGGTACTTGGAGAGTGAAGAGGTGGAGGCTCTTGAGGATGGTGGTAAAAGCATCCTGCTGGTGGTGAAGGCAAAAATTCAAGAGTTTATGGCATCTCCAACAAGTTCAACTGAAACCACACAATCACTGCCGTCGTCCCTTGAGATGTTTAAAAGGGAATTGAAAATAAAGGGACAGATTGGGTCTCCGGGACAGACTGACAAACTGTCCTACTTAAGCGTTATGAGACAAATAGAAGATGGTCTCACCCGTGGTTACAACCGTAGTGCCATCTTAAATGCTGTAACTATGGCTGTAACAAGTGGAACTCCACTCCGAGGCTATCTAGAAAGTCGGCCGGAAATGAGCCTAGCTCAGCTCAGACGAGTCTTGCGTTCCCATTTTAAAGAAGGGGATGCACTGGACTCCTACCAACAACTGTCTTCCGCTTGCCAACAGCCTGGTGAGTTGGCTCAAGAGTTTGTCGTCAGGGCTATGAACCTCCGTCAAAAGGTGAGATTCTCATCCAATGAGGAAGGAGCACCGCTGATGTACGACGATCAGTTGTTGCGAAGTACGTTCCTCCAGTCACTGCAGACAGGTCTTAGAGGAAACTTACGCAGTGAGATGAGGGAGCACCTGCAGGAACCCGGTATCTCTGATGAAGACCTGCTTGAGAGGCTTGCCCGAGTAGAAAATCTTGAGGAGAAACGGAAACAAAAACAATGTACATCAAGCACCGTAAAAGTTGCCAGTGCAACTGTTAGCAATACATCGTCAACCAGCGATGAAATCAAACTGCTGGTTGAAGGACTGAAGACCCTTCAGGCAAGTGTTTCCGCTTTGCAGGGAGTTGTACGACACTCAAACAAAGGTGGGCGCAACTCAAGGGGAAGAGGATGTAGCAGCTGCAAGCAGAATGGTAGGGGAGATGATTGTAGACATTGTTACAAGTGTGGAGGTGACAACCACTTCGCTAGGGCTTGCACCACCAACCAGGGAAACGGGCCCCGATCATCCCAGCGGGACTTGGAATGATCGCAGATAAACCAAACACGTCCCTTAATTCCAAAAAGCATGAGATAGAGGTAGCCAAAGGTGATTCTTTGGATCGAGGCCAGTCTGGGGTTGATCACTCTAAAGAGAGTTGCAGTAACCAGTCAAAGATAGATCCAGAAAGGCAGCATCAAATTAGCCACCTCACACCTGGGCAACACCAACAAATAGTCAACCTCATAGGTAGACGATGCACTGTCAGATGCAAATTAAACGAGAAAATTGAAGAGGTTCTATGGGACACAGGTTCTCAAGTATCGATAGTGTCTCAGACATGGTGGAAGACAAGTTGCCAAGATGAACCACTGAGGAATTTAAGGGAACTTCTGCAACAAGATCTCAAACTTACTGCTGCCAATGGTACAAATATACCCTATATAGGATGGCTTACTCTGAAATTTCAACTGTTATCTACCAACAATCAATCAACATTTTCTACTTTAGTACCAGTCTTAGTAACAGCTGATGAACTTCAACAACCAATCATTGGCTATAATGTAATCAAAGAAATTGTACAAATTGACCAACCTGAACTTGTCAGGGCAGTAAGAACATCATTTCCAAAATGTAATCACATCAAAGCTACGAAGTTAATTTCAACGATGCGCAATTCCGATCCTACCGACTTTTGCAATGTACATTCAGGAAATTTGGTACATGAGGTCCCAGCGAAGCAGACGATATTTATAAAAGTTAGAGCCATAACTGGTCCCATCCAGAAAAAGATAATGGTGATATTTGAACCATTACTGGAACCACATCTCCCTGATGGATTAGAAGTCAACGAAAATGTAGTTGAATTAAAATGCCGTTCCTTTAATTATATCAGAGTCCCAGTTACCAACAAAACTGACCAAAATTTAATAATTCCCAGGAAGACCTTGTTGGGGAAATTACAACTTGTGAGAGCTATAGATGTGTATAAGAGACAGGATCAGTTGTGGGCGCTAATTCGCAAAATAAGGTGATTTTATGAAATGTTCAACTACTTTACCATGAATTTTTTTTGGTGGGGGGGGGGGGCGACTACGGGGGCGAGTAATTTTTGGGGGG